AGAGAAGGGGGATGGGGGAAGGGAAGGGGGATGGGGGAAGGGAAGGGGGATAGGGAAAGAGAAGGGGATGGGGAAAGGGTAGGCGGATGGGGAAAGGGAAAGGGGATGCGGGAAGGGAAGGGGGATGGGGAAAGAGAAGGGGGATGGGGAAAGAGAAGGGGGATGGGGAAAGAGAAGGGGGATGGGGAAAGAGAAGGGGGATGGGGAAAGAGAAGGGGGATGGGGGAGGGGAAGGCGGATGGGGTTAGGGAAAGGGGATGTGGGAAGGGAAAGGGGTATGGGGATCGGCGCGTCTCCTACGTTTCCTCCCGCCAGTCCCGTCCCGCTCCGTCGCGTTCCCTCCCGCTCCGTCCCGTCATACATCCCGTCCCATCCCGTCCCATCCCGTCCCATCCCGTCCCATCCCGTCCCGTCATGTCCCGTCCCATCCCGTTCCGTCATGTCCCGTCCCGTCCCGTCCCGTCCCGTCCCGTCCCGTCCCGTCCCGTCCCCTCTCGTCTCGTTTCCTTCCCGTCCCGTCCCGTCCCGTCCCGTCCCGTCCCGTCCCGTCCCGTCCCGTCCCGTCCTTTCCCGTCGCGTCCCCTCACGTCCCATCAGGTCCCCCCCGTTCCCGTCCCGTCCCGTCGTGTCCAGTAGCGTCCCCTCCTGTCCTCTCCTCTCCTCTCCACTTCTCTCCTCTCCACTCCTCGTTGCATCCCACAGTATCCCTTCCTACCCTTTCCGGCTCCCCTTCACGCACCGTCCCACCCCTCCCCTTCTCGTCGCATCCCGGAGGTCCTTCTCACCCCTTACCTCCCTTCCAGTCCCTTCCCTCCCAACCGTCCCGCCACACCCCTTCGCGACTCTCCCCTTACCCTCGCATCACGCCCATCCCTTTCTCCTCGCTTCCAGCCATGTCGCGTCGCTTCCTGTAATGTCGCGTCGCTGCTTATCGAGTCCTAACCCTCGGCTTTCAGCCGCGTCGCTGCTTATCCAGTCCTAACCCTCGCCTTTCCGTCGCGTCGCTTCCTATCTCGTCCTAACCCTCGCCTTTCCGTCGCGTCGCTTCCTAACTCGTCCTAACTGCTGCCTTTCCGTCGCGTCGCTTCCAATCTCGTCCTAACTGCTGCCTTTCCGTCGCGTCGCTTCCTATCTCGTCCTAACTGCTGCCTTTCCGTCGTGTCCCTTCCGTCCAAATTCGACAGGGGGGAGCGTTACTGCAATACACCTTGGTCCAAATAGAGTGGTGCATCTTATTGCAATAATGAGGACCAGCTCTGGCGATGGACGGACTATACGTGCGTAAAAGCAAATGCAGGCGCGGAGTGACCACAGATAAAAATAAACAACGACAACGAGAGGTACAAGGTATTGTCACGTTTGACGCTGGAATAAACCTAGGGAAAATAAGATGCTGAAATGAGACTTAGTCGCTAGAGAAATCGGTGCGAGTATGTTTCTCCACCTACAACCTGTCTGGGTTTGCAGTCTCATATTTTTCCAGCTCTGTAATACGCTCGGTTGTGGGCTGTGCGTCCCATTCTCAGTCCGTCGCACATGCAGTTGCCTGTTTCTCGCAAACCCGGCTTGGTAGTCAGGCACCTGCCTCTACCAAACTGTTTGGTTTGCAGCCAATCACACCTGCGCCAAACCAAACGCGAGTGTTTTGCGAGTGATTGTTTGGTTACCCGGTTTCAAGCGTATTACCTTTGGTTGGAAACAAGAAATATGAGACGCGGGTTTTAAGAGAAGTGGTCACTCGACACATTGACCACACTAAAGAATGAGGGAAGTGGGTTAGATGAGGTTGTGAAATACGTCCGAGTGACTGAATGGCTGAAGTGACTTGCACAACATTGATTGGTGCACGAAATCCTGGCTGCCACCTAGCGAAACCCATCATGTAAAGCTCGATATGGTGAGCTGCGTTTGCACGCATGGAGATGGTAAATCTACTGTGCTGCTGTAAAAGCATGTACACAACTGGCTCGGGGTCAGCCTCGGATGCTGAAACCAATTGACCAGCCTCGTTCCGAGGCAGACGGGGTTTCCTCGGGGTATCCTCTAACTTTTGCTTCATCCTGATTCGTCAGTTTCTGATTTCCGAAACTGATCGAGTTTGTAATACATTTCGCGGATGTCGTTGTTCCCCTCATGTTTCCTTTTGGGGTCTTGAGGGGAACTATGAGGTAACCTCGCATGTGATGCCCCAAGGTAACCCTCAATTTCGAACCGATTTGGACGTTCGAATTTTTGGGATGAGGCCTCTTCTCGTTCCTCTCACTTGAAGTGTTGGCCTTCGATCTCCTGCTTTTTCTCTCTCTTTTCGTTCTATACCTCCTTTCTCTTGCATGTCAGGAGGATCGCAAGCTGCTGCTGCACGTGGCAGCGCATGTTGCTTATCACTCCATATATTTGTTTTCCTTCCTCCCCCCTGCCTTCTTTTATATCCCAGGAGGATCGCAAGCTGCTGCTGCACGTGCCAGCGCACGGCACGAGGCAGTGGAGGGCAATCGTCAATGCAGGGCTGCTGCCAGGTCGGGACAGCAAGGCCTGCTGCAACCGATTCATTGTGCTCAAGAGGTAAAACTTGCCGTTTTATTTATTGTGCGCGGTATGTTTTTATTTGATTATCACTTTACTCCTTTTTTTTCTTTTTAGGTTAGTAGATGGGAGCCTGTCAATTTTGCGTGGAGGGCTGGGGTTGGCTTAACTTAACGACCTATCCCTCTCAATCTCATGTCGTCCCTTCTCTGCTGCAGAAAGTACTTCAGTTTCCGGGAGAGACTGCAGGGTCGATTCCATCCATTACTGGGATTTTCTGAGGACGTTTTCCCATTGCAAAAGACTTCCGAACACGGTTCCGACAGCGGAAGTATAGAAGCTGCTTTATCTGATTTGGCTAACAATATCGACACTGCTGTGTGTGCTGCACCGGAGTCTGATAATGTCATCATTTTCACTGAGTATGCTGCACCAGCGCCTGTTCTCGAGGCTTCTGCTGCTAGTGGATCTGCTGTTACCGTAAATTGAGTATGGTTCCCCTGGGGTGAGCACTGGATCTAACGCCACTGCGACTCAAGCTACTGTTGTGGACACAAATGCAAGTGCTGCTGCTGATGGTGGTAATCCCACTTCTGCTGCTGCTGCTGCTGCTGCGGCAGCCTGGGTGGCAAAAGAAGCAGGCGTAATCAACCTTCTTGGAGTCCCACCACACGAGCCTGTGCATGAATTGACGGGTGGTCATTTAAGAGGGGCGCCTGTGGCTCGCGCCGCTCCGGCTGCTGTTTCTGCAGCTGCTCCTGCTCCCGCTCCTTCTGCTTCTGCAGCTGCTCCTGCTCCCGCTCCTTCTGCTTCTGCAGCTGCTCCTGCTCCCGCTCCTTCTGTTTCTGCAGCTGCTCCTGCTCCCGCTCCTTCTGTTTCTGCAGCTGCTCCTGCTCCCGCTCCTTCTGTTTCTGCAGCTGCTCCTGCTCCCGCTCCTTCTGTTTCTGCAGCTGCTCCTGCTCCCGCTCCTTCTGCTTCTGCAGCTCCTGCTGCAATTGCATTTTTTCCAGGAAGGGAGGCGGCAAGGGAAACAAGAGTCTTGAATGTCCCTCCAACTCCCACACTGCATGGGACTGAGCATTGGAGGTTTCGTACAGGGAGTGTCTATCAAGCTGTACCAGATTTGCAACACAGGCATTTTGAAGAAAGCAATGCAGGCAGTTTCCTGGAAGCTGCTCTGTTGAACCTGATAAGCAGAATGCCAGCATCTCCAGCTTGCATTCAATCGAACTCCCTTCCTTTGTCTCCTTGGGTGCCTGCCGACCCGGCCATGCCTGTCGAACCGGCCAAGGCGATGTGTGAAGGAAGAAGCAGCAGCAGCTTCGACTCGGGAGCCAATGAGCTGGCACTTAGAGAACGCAGCGGACTACAAGGCCTGCGGAATCCATTATCTGGGGTGCAAGGGGCAGGTTTGGCGTTGGAGTTTCCAGCAACCTTCCCGGTACTGGATGATAGTGAAACGGTGGGGGAGTTCCTGAATACCCTCGACCAACCGGCACCAAGAGGGTGCCATGCAGTTGCACCCAGCCAGCCTAGGCAGCCGTGGGTGAATGGTGGGTGCAACAGGCTCCCTGCAGACCAACAGCAGGCTCCAAGTCAGTCTGGTTTAAATGGTGCAGGCGTCGAGGATTTGCTGGAGAGTCCTTGCTCCCAGGGAGGGCAAAGTCAGCCTAGGCAAACGTGGGTGAATGGTGGGTGCAACAGGCTCCCTGCAGACCAACAGCAGGCTCCAAGTGGGTCTGGTTTACATGGTGCAGGCGTTGAGGGTTTGCTGGAGAGGCTTTGCTCAGGTTGGGCTTGGATCCGGCAGTCCTTGTGGAATGCGACCAGACTCAATATTTGAGGCCATGGCTAGTGGGAGCTGGTCCTTTTAGTAAAATATCCCTTTGTAATGGTTGTGTTTTGTTTGGTTTTGTATCGTTTCGAATTTTTATTCTGTGTCTGTCTAGTTGTGTTGATGAATTGATTTGTAATAGGGGATTTTGAAAGAGATTTTGTCGCAACAACCAGCATTAGTTCTCAGCACAAACACTCCACACACTAATCTAAAAACGAGGTTTACAACAGCGCGTTCTTATCAGGCTTGCAGGAATCATCTCCTCAGGGTACGTCCTTGCAACGCGGTTGAATACGTTAAACGACGTTGCAATACGTTTTAAGCTACTAAGACAAGGTTGCATTTCGGTGTGTACTAAGACGACTCGATCAATATTGAACCTTTGGGTCCTCGATATTGGGTATGTGTTTGTGATCTCTAGGTTCTCCGTTCTCCCTTCTCTGTGCTGCAGTGCAGTTTAATCTCCCGTCCTAGACTGGCATTGACCAGTTTGTAGGGCATCCAGACCACCGATCTTAGCACCGCCGCCAATCCCTCTCTTCCCACACCTCCAGAAGCTAGACTTCCCCTTCCGCGTGTGACCCGTTCGCTTCCCCCACCAGCCGCTCCGCCTGTCCTCCGCTCTGCCGCTCCGCCGCGCATGGCGACGGGAGGCGGGCTGTTCGGGTCCACAGCGGGATCGTCGCTGTTCGGCCAGCCGCAGCAAACAACCCCCGCGGCGCCCTCGTTATTCGGCCAGCAAACTCCCGCCACGCCTTCGCCGTTCGGGCAGCAAACTCAATCTGCCGCCGCGCCGTCGCTTTTCGGCCAGACGACCCCCGCTACGCCCTCGCCGTTCGGCCAATCAGCTCCCGCATTCGGCGCCGCGTCCACGCCCGCGTTCGGCGCATCTCCGACTTCCGCGTTCGGCGCTGCTTCTACCTCCGCGTTCGGCGCTACGCCTACCTCCGCGTTCGGTGCTGCTTCCACTTCCGCTTTTGGAGCTTCCTCCACCCCCGCGTTTGGCGCTGCGTCGACGCCCGCTTTCGGCGCATCTGCCTCCCCATTCGGCGCTACAACCACCTCCGCATTCGGCGCTACCCCTACTTCCGCATTCGGCGCCGCTTCCTCGACGCCTGGCTTCGGCGGTCAACTCACCCTATCCCAACCGCAGCAGCAGCAGCAGGGAGCGCTTCAACAGGCGCAATTCGCGGCGCAATCCGCGCAATGGTCCGGGGCGCTTCCGGAAAGGGAAGTCGCCGCGATAGCCGCCGCGTATTTCGGCGACGCGCGGAACCCCCTAGGGCGGTTCGTGAGCCCGTTCCTTAGCGTCACGCACCCCCTGACGCGCTTCCGCCCGCCGAACGTCCCCGAGCTGACGTGGCAGGAGGCGATTCGCCTGCTGGCAGCGGCTGGCCCTGAAAACCAGGCGGACGGTCTCTGGCCGGAAATGGTGTGCGGATTCTCGGGATTGTCGAAGCGGCTGCAAGTGCAGGTAGGCTTATAGGAAAGGGAGGACGTGCACTGGGCGCACGTGACAGCAGCAGCAGAAGCTTGGGACTCTCCTCCCTTGTTCCCCCTGAACCCCTTGCTCCCTACCCCCTGCAGGATGAGACGATAGAGGCGGATAGGCAGCGGTTGGATGCGGTGGAAGCGGCGGTGGGGCAGGTGAGGGCGCACATGACAGCAGTGACTGATGACCCCCCTGTGTCTTACCCTTCATTCTTACAGGACGAAACGATTGAAGCGGATAGACAACGGTTGGATGCGGTAGAAGCAGCAGTGGGGCAGGTGAGGGCGCACGTGACAGCCGTGACGGAGGGCCGGCAGGGGGCGGTGAGGCAGAGACAGCAGCAGCTGCAGCAGCGGGTGCTGCGACTGATGCGACTGGTGGAGGTGCGTTTGGGGGGTTTGTGGGGGTGGGGGTTGTATGGGCGCATGGGGGTATAAAAAAGGAGCATGAGCATGAGCAGGAGCATGAGCAGGAGCATGAGCATGAGCAGGAGCATGAGCATGAGCATGAGCATGAGCATGAGCATGAGCAGGAGCATGAGCATGAGCATGAGCATGAGCATGAGCATGAGCATGAGCATGAGCATGAGCATGAGCATGAGCATGAGCATGAGCATGAGCATGAGCATGAGCATGAGCATGAGCATGAGCATGAGCATGAGCATGAGCATGAGCATGAGCATGAGCATGAGCATGAGCATGAGCATGAGCATGAGCATGAGCATGAGCATGAGCATGAGCATGAGCATGAGCATGAGCATGAGCATGAGCATGAGCATGAGCATGAGCATGAGCATGAGCATGAGCATGAGCATGAGCATGAGCATGAGCATGAGCATGAGCATGAGCATGAGCATGAGCATGAGCATGAGCATGAGCAGGAGCATGAGCATGAGCATGAGCATGAGCATGAGCATGAGCATGAGCATGAGCATGAGCATGAGCATGAGCATGAGCATGAGCATGAGCATGAGCATGAGCATGAGCATGAGCATGAGCATGAGCATGAGCATGAGCATGAGCATGAGCATGAGCATGAGCATGAGCATGAGCATGAGCATGAGCATGAGCATGAGCATGAGCATGAGCATGAGCATGAGCATGAGCATGAGCATGAGCATGAGCATGAGCATGAGCATGAGCATGAGCATGAGCATGAGCATGAGCATGAGCATGAGCATGAGCATGAGCATGAGCATGAGCATGAGCATGAGCATGAGCATGAGCATGAGCATGAGCATGAGCATGAGCATGAGCATGAGCATGAGCATGAGCATGAGCATGAGCATGAGCATGAGCATGAGCATGAGCATGAGCATGAGCATGAGCATGAGCATGAGCATGAGCATGAGCATGAGCATGAGCATGAGCATGAGCATGAGCATGAGCATGAGCATGAGCATGAGCATGAGCATGAGCATGAGCATGAGCATGAGCATGAGCATGAGCATGAGCATGAGCATGAGCATGAGCATGAGCATGAGCATGAGCATGAGCATGAGCATGAGCATGAGCATGAGCATGAGCATGAGCATGAGCATGAGCATGAGCATGAGCATGAGCATGAGCATGAGCATGAGCATGAGCATGAGCATGAGCATGAGCATGAGCATGAGCATGAGCATGAGCATGAGCATGTGGGTAAACGCACAGGCAGCTGCAGCAGCGGGTGCTGCGACTGATGCGACGGGTGGTGGTGCGTTTGGGGGTTATGGAGATGTGGGGATTATGGTCGTCACTCATGGTTAGGAAGGGCATCACTGCTAGGAAGTGAAGGAAATGCTTTAGCAAGTGAAGAAAATAGGCATGGAGCTCATGGAAATGCGACCCGTGGCGGTGCGCTTGCGGGGTTATGGAGGTGTGGGGATTATGGGGGGGTGAATGGGCATAAGGAGGAGGGCATAGCAACCAATCAGAGACAGAGGCAGCAGCAGCTGCAGCAGCGGATGCTGCGACTGATGCGACTGGTGGAGGTACGTTTGAAGGGGGTACGGGAAGGTTATGGGGGGTCTACGTGCGTGACAGGAAAGCGGGGAGGAGTTTTGGTCGGAACCTAGGGTTGCAGATAGAACAAAGGTTTCGAACTGCAGATGCATGTATATGTAGGTGACTTTTGAGTCAACTCAAAAGCCACCTCAAGCGCATGACATATCCCCACATCCCTATGTCCAGCAACCTTTCTCCCTCTTGCATCTCCCTCCCTTTATTCCCTCCTCCCTCTCGCCCCTCCCTCCTCTCAGATTATGGAGCTCAGGACATCGGCCCACGTCCCTATGTCCTCCTCCCTCCCTCTCGCATCTCCCTCCTCACTCTCTTCCCGCCCCTCCCTCTCCTCAGATCATGGAGCTCAGGACATCTCCCCACCCCACGTCCCTCTCTGACTCAAAATTCACCTCTGTGCCTCCCTTGCTCTCTCCCTTGCCTCCCTCTCGCCCCTCCTTTCCTCTCTCCCCTCCACCTCCCTCCCCTCAGATCATGGAGCTCAGGACGTCTCCCCACGTCCCTCTCTCGCCAACAGAGCTGCTTCTATCAGACAGGCTTCAGGTGAGTTCACAAATGGGCTTCAGGTGAGTTCTCAAATGGGCTTCAGGTGAGTTCTCAAATGGGCTTCAGGTGAGTTCACAAATGGGCTTCAGGTGAGTTCACAAATGGGCTTCAGGTGAGTTCACAAATGGGCTTCAGGTGAGTTCACAAATGGGCTTCAGGTGAGTTCACAAATGGGCTTCAGGTGAATTCACAAATGGGCTTCAGGTGAGTTCACAAATGGGCTTCAGGTGAGTTCACAAATGGGCTTCAGGTGAGTTCACAAATGGGCTTCAGGTGAATTCACAAATGGGCTTCAGGTGAGTTCTCAAATGGGCTTCAGGTGAGTTCTCAAATGGGCTTCAGGTGAGTTTCCAGATAGGTTCCAGGCAAGGTTCCCAAGCATGCCATCCCCCATGTGCGTTTGTGCTCTTCTCTTCCTTCCATTCCAAAGCCACCTTTTGACACGTCTCAAACACCCCCATGTGCGTTTGTGCTCTTCTCTTCCTTCCATTCCAAAGCCACCTTTTGACACGTCTCAAACACCCCCATGTGCGTTTGTGCTCTTCTCTTCCTTCCATTCCAAAGCCACCTTTTGACACGTCTCAAACACCCCCATGTGCGTTTGTGCTCTTCTCTTCCTTCCATTCCAAAGCCACCTTTTGACACGTCTCAAACACCCCCATGTGCGTTTGTGCTCTTCTCTTCCTTCCATTCCAAAGCCACCTTTTGACACGTCTCAAACACCCCCATGTGCGTTTGTGCTCTTCTCTTCCTTCCATTCCAAAGCCACCTTTTGACACGTCTCAAACACCCCCATGTGCGTTTGTGCTCTTCTCTTCCTTCCATTCCAAAGCCACCTTTTGACACGTCTCAAACACCCCCATGTGCGTTTGTGCTCTTCTCTTCCTTCCATTCCAAAGCCACCTTTTGACACGTCTCAAACACCCCCATGTGCGTTTGTGCTCTTCTCTTCCTTCCATTCCAAAGCCACCTTTTGACACGTCTCAAACACCCCCATGTGCGTTTGTGCTCTTCTCTTCCTTCCATTCCAAAGCCACCTTTTGACACGTCTCAACCACCCCCATGTGCGTTTGTGCTCTTCTCTTCCTTCCATTCCAAAGCCACCTTTTGACACGTCTCAAACACCCCCATGTGCGTTTGTGCTCTTCTCTTCCTTCCATTCCAAAGCCACCTTTTGACACGTCTCAAACACCCCCATGTGCGTTTGTGCTCTTCTCTTCCTTCCATTCCAAAGCCACCTTTTGACACGTCTCAAACACCCCCATGTGCGTTTGTGCTCTTCTCTTCCTTCCATTCCAAAGCCACCTTTTGACACGTCTCAAACACCCCCATGTGCGTTTGTGCTCTTCTCTTCCTTCCATTACAAAGCCACCTTTTGACACGTCTCAAACACCCCCATGTGCGTTTGTGCTCTTCTCTTCCTTCCATTCCAAAGCCACCTTTTGACACGTCTCAAACACCCCCATGTGCGTTTGTGCTCTTCTCTTCCTTCCATTCCAAAGCCACCTTTTGACACGTCTCAAACACCCCCATGTGCGTTTGTGCTCTTCTCTTCCTTCCATTCCAAAGCCACCTTTTGACACGTCTCAAACACCCCCATGTGCGTTTGTGCTCTTCTCTTCCTTCCATTCCAAAGCCACCTTTTGACACGTTTCAAACACCCCCATGTGCGTTTGTGCTCCTCTCTTCCTTCCATTCCAAAGCCACCTTTTGACACGTCTCAAACACCCCCATGTGCGTTTGTGCTCTTCTCTTCCTTCCATTCCAAAGCCACCTTTTGACACGTCTCAAACACCCCCATGTGCGTTTGTGCTCTTCTCTTCCTTCCATTCCAAAGCCACCTTTTGACACGTCTCAAACACCCCCATGTGCGTTTGTGCTCTTCTCTTCCTTCCATTCCAAAGCCACCCTTTGACACGTCTCAAACACCCCCATGTGCGTTTGTGCTCTTCTCTTCCTTCCATTCCAAAGCCACCTTTTGACACGTCTCAAACACCCCCATGTGCGTTTGTGCTCTTCTCTTCCTTCCATTCCAAAGCCACCTTTTGACACGTCTCAAACACCCCCATGTGCGTTTGTGCTCTTCTCTTCCTTCCATTCCAAAGCCACCTTTTGACACGTCTCAAACACCCCCATGTGCGTTTGTGCTCTTCTCTTCCTTCCATTCCAAAGCCACCTTTTGACACGTCTCAAACACCCCCATGTGCGTTTGTGCTCTTCTCTTCCTTCCATTCCAAAGCCACCTTTTGACACGTCTCAAACACCCCCATGTGCGTTTGTGCTCTTCTCTTCCTTCCATTCCAAAGCCACCTTTTGACACGTCTCAAACACCCCCATGTGCGTTTGTGCTCTTCTCTTCCTTCCATTCCAAAGCCACCTTTTGACACGTCTCAAACACCCCCATGTGCGTTTGTGCTCCTCTCTTCCTTTCATCCCAACGCACCTAACAGGATGGCGCTCGAAGGGACTAGATACGGTATCCAGTCCCCTCTCGCCATCTCCCGCACCTTTCTCCCCAATCCCCTCCTCTCCCCCTTCCCCCAATCCCTCCTCCGTCTGCTGTGCAGCGGGCATCAAACCTCCCCAGGAAGGTCGAGTCCCTCGCTGCAGCAGGTCTGCTGTTCTGATTTTGTTGTTTGTGTCCACTCCCCCTCACTTTGCAGCCTGTGCGTCCTTCTTCATTTCCTTCACCCCCACCCCCCCCTCCCTACTTGCCAGTCCCTCCTCCGTCTGCTCCGCAGTGGGGCATCAGAGCTCCCTAGAAAGGTCGAATCCCTCGCTGCAGCAGCCAGCATGCTGGCCGATGGGGGGGGAGAGGGCGGGGGAGCGGATACAGGCGCAGGAGGAGCAGGAGGAGGAGTCGGGGAGGGTGGGGGAGTGAGGGTGGAGGAGTGGAGTATGGAGAGAATGAGGGGGGTGGTGGCGACACAGGCAGAGGCGGTGGGGAGGTTGGCACAGCTGGTGGAGCGAGATGTGAGGGACGTGGGGATCATGATGGGGGGACCTGTAGACCCTATAGGGGGAGTGGCAGGAGCATAGGGCATACGGGGGCATGGGGCAGACGCGGAACATGTGAGGAGTAGGGGCAGCAGCAGGGGGAGCAGCAGGGGGAGCAGGGGAGGGCGGGGGAGTGAGGGTGGAGGAGTGGAGTATGGAGAGAATGAGGGGGGTGGTGGCGACACAGGCAGAGGCGGTGGGGAGTCTGACACAGCTGGTGGAGCGAGATGTGAGGGACGTGGGGATCATGATGGGGGGAGGGGGAGTGGACCCTCTAGGGGGAGTGGCGGGCGCAAAGGGCAGACACTACGGAGTTATCCGTTTTGGGGTCATACAGTAGATGAGAGTGAAGGGGCGTGGTGCCAATACAGCACAGGTGGTGGAGTTTTGAGTCATCTCATGAGTGGGCATGGACTGGCATGTAGTAGGGGAGGGGTGGCAGGTGCAGAGAAAGCGTTATATTGCATTGGCCATGTGGGCTATTTGAAGAGAAGGGTGATGTGATGTCAGGTGGTGGTTTGTCAGGAGATGCTGGCGGTGAGGTGATGTCAAAAGATTGTGAGCAGGCCTCTCGTTATCAGGGTAAAATACCCTTTTTGCACTGACTGGCGGCCGCTTTTTTTTAGTTACCCTTTCCCAGACAGGGTATTAGGATCAGGGCCTCAGATTCGTAGGCAGTTTTTAGGAAATCAGAATTTGCCCTGAATTGCCGGCTGCACAGGGTGAGGTATGCTGAAATGGCAGTGCTGCATTTGCCAATATACTGTAACCTTACTGTGATAGGTGAAGTGTGGTAGCGGGTAAAGCGGCAATGCGTGACGTCAAGGTCTCGTGCTCGATTCTCGCTGGCTCCTATGTTCGAGTTCCTCGCACATAGATATTTTAGGCCCGAAACCCAGGAGATTTTACGTACAGTACATCTCGCTTCAGAGCGAGACTCGACACTATCCTGACTCATCAGGGCTGAACCTACAGCCTTATCCTGAGTTTCGAGTACGCAGAATAATGTTATACTGAAATTACAGGACAATTATTCTTGTTATGCTGTTTTTCCAGGACTAGCACACGACACCTATCCTGAATTCAGGAGAATCAGGATAAATTATCCTGATAACTGAGGCCCTGATTAGGATTTTTACCCTAGGCCAGAAAATGTAGTTTTTTTTTTCCCCTTTGTAAAACAGTGTGATGGATTTTTTACCCCGAGTGTTCAGGGTACGGTTTCAGTTACGCTGATACTGAGTTTCTCGGAACCGAGGATATCCGACTATGAACACGTTGCGTAAAGGACAGCAGGGCCAGCACCCACATAAGACGACATCAACCACAGGTGCAGTCCCGAGGAATGCAGCGGTGCAGGAAGCAGCTGTTTCGTGCTGTCCAGGGCACATCATGTCAGGCAAGAGGAAGCACCGTGAGCCACGCATAAGCCGCACTCCGGGGTCTTCCAAGCCATCACAGGTGGTGGTGGGGCATTGTGTGCTCCCAAGGACACCCCATCTTGTTCCTCCTGCTCATTCTTACCGTGAGGAAACACCATCGAGGTTCCAGCCCATGCCTCAGTCATGCCTGCCGAGCATTCTCAAGAACCGCCTGCTGTAGTGCGCAATGGCCTATCTGTGCTAGGTGTTCTTCCCCGCCTGCCTGAGTCCTACAGCGTGCCGATTTCACCATTGCCACGTCCCGCTTCTCCAGTGCGCAGTGTAGGCACCGTGTACCCGTTCGAGCCGCCATCCACGTCGGGTGAGTGGGAGCCGCACCCGTCAGTCGTTCTTGTGCCTGGCGGTGGGGAAGAGTCGTCCAGGCCACCGGCGGATTCACCGTCTACTGTGAACAGCACGCCGGTCAAACGCCCGCAGGTCGCTGTGAAGTACAAGCAGCAGCGCCTCTGGGGAGCTCCTCCTCCTCGGAGGGTTGGCTCTCCGCAACGTGATGCTGATCCTGAAGATGAAGCGCCGCCAAAAACAACCGGTGATGTTATGTATGACACGATAAAGCATCGCTATGAGTCTGAGTGGCAGAATAAATTTAAGTGGTTACGTCTCATTCGGTTGCCTAACGGTGTTGCCAAGTTGAAGTGCGACATCTGCGTGCAGCATGGAGACCCCACCGCTCACACTAGCTACGGTGCGAAGGGCGAGGGAGGGCGCGACCTCCAGATTCGTAGCGTCCGGGCTCATTCCGCGACGAGAGCCCACAAGAACGCCTTGAAAGCCCAAGCAGAAGCGGAAGCGGACAAGGCGAAACAAGTGAGCATCACCCGCTGGCAGGCGACCGACACGTCGACGAGGCACATCATTCGCGTTCTGCACATCGCTCTCTTCGTCTGCAAGGCGGATGCGCCAATCGCGATGTTCATCCCGCTCTGCTGGTTCTTCGCGAAGGAAGGTCTGTCAGAGGTCCACTGGTGATCCCCGATTGATCCTAGGGAAGGGTTACAGGCATGTTGGCCTGGGGGGTTATGGGCGCACTGACCCGCTACTTAACAAGCCCTTTTATCCCAATGGTCTAGTGGTTGGGATTCTGACATGGTATCAGAGCGAAGGTCTCGGGTTCGAATCCCAGTGTGTGCACTTCCGGCATCCCAGTGCGGGGGGGTGTCAGAGGTCCACTGGTGATCCCCGATTGATCCTAGGGAAGGGTTACAGGCATGTTGGCCTGGGGGGTTATGGGCGCACTGACCCGCTACTTAACAAGCCCTTTTATCCCAATGGTCTAGTGGTTGGGATTCTGACAAGGTCTTCCCGACCTCCCCAACAGTGGTGGTTACGGCGCCTACTACACAGAGTAAGCCCGTGTTTGTTAGAAGTGTGGCTCGCTTTGTGCGCCAATCGCGTTCTAAATGCTGTGTTTTGTTCATGTGCTCTGCAGATACGGCTTCAGAGAAAACCTCAGGGCAATCTCAGCTTACCTCCAGGAAGTGCAGCGGTTGCATCTACTGGAGTCGCCCTGGATTGGTCTTTCCCTCGACGAAAGCAGTGATCGCGTCAACGGGGAACACCTCATCCTCTACGCCACTTTTTTTCCGAGGGACCGCAGTGGTGAACGAGTTTTTGACGCTGATAACTGTTGACCGTGTCAAATTATATATATATATATGTGAATCAAGAAAAACAGGAATGAGAATGAATAAGTGAAAGTTGGGTAGAAGAAGCAAACCCTAGAAAACTGTACCCCATATGTGCTACCCCACTCTAGCCTACAGTAGCTATGTCATATAAATCTGACACACCCCCATAGGCAAAGTGGGGGAGAACAAGGGGTCACAAGACCAGTCAAGCAAAGCAAAGCAAAAAACAAGCTCAAGGTGGATCACAAAGTCACCACACATTCCGAGCACAAGTTCAAGGCCACAAGGCCAGTTCACAAGCAGGAGTACACATATATATAAAAAGGCTAGACAAACAAGAGCAGGTATATATATATGTAACAGTACAAGCAAGGTCAAGAGGTGAGCAAGTGAGGCAAGGTAGGCACAAGGCCCAGCTGAGTACAGAAGCGCTGATGGTCACAAGGCGCAAGTGCCTTGGTGAAGATATCAGCAGTGTTGGCCTCAGAGGCCACGTACGCAAGACGCAGCTGACCACGCTGCTGCAGCTCACGAGCAAGAAAGTAGCGGAGAGCAATGTGCTTCGTTCTGTGCTCCAGTCGCTGCTCCCGACACAAGGCCAGCATGGCCTTGTTGTCTACGTACAGCACTGGAGGAGAACGAGGCAACTCTCCGAGGTCAGTCAGCAGGTAGGTGAGCCAGCGAAGCTCCTGTGCAGCCATGGCTCCTGCGTAGATCTCAGCCTCACAACTGGAGCCGAGAACAGAAGACGAGCGAGTAGCCCGCCACGAAACAGAGCCGGAACCAAGGCTGAAGGTGTAACCCTGTGACGACCGCTGCGTAGCCTGGTCGTCAGCCCAAGAAGCGTCTGCGTGCCCAGTAAGGACCACTGGACTCTGCCCTCCAAGCACAAGCCCCATGCCCGACGTACTGCACAAGTAGCGCAACACCCTCTTCGCTGCAGCCATGTGCTCCGGTTTGTGTCTCCCAGGAGCAACATAGCGTGCAAGAATGCTAAGAGGGTATGCAAGGTCAGGTCGTGTGCAGGTCATCAGGTACATGAGGCAGCCAACAAGCTCTGGGTACGGGCCACTCGACTCTACGGACTCATCCGAAGGCAGAGCTGAGAGCGAGTGGCGAGTAGGCAGAGGAGTGGCCTGAGGCGAGGAGTACGTGAAGCCGAAGCGCTGAAGGACCTGCTGCACCATGTGTGACTGAGTCAGGGTAATGGTGCGGCGTGCTCTGTCCCGAGTGATCTGCAAGCCAAGGTAGCTGCGCAGTTCACCCAGGTCAGTGCACGTGTGTCTCTTCTGCAGCTCGGACTTCACGTGGGCTAGTCCAGCAGTGTCAGCTGTGGCAAAGACCAAGTCGTCGACGTACACGAGGATGTAGAACGGCGGCAAAGAAGTGTCGGTGCGCAGAAACAGCGACGGGTCGGCAGTAGAGGGAGCAAACCCAAGAGCCGCAAGTGTAGTCCTCAGTGTGTCGTGCCACTCACGCGGTGCCTGGCGGAGACCGTAGACTGGCCGCCGTAGGCTCCACTGGGTGCCAGGAGGAAAAGACCCAGTGAAGCCAGGTGGGCGACGCAGCCAGATCTCCTCGTGCAGGCTGCCCTGCAAGAAAGCAGTGCTGAAGTCAAGAGAGTGTAGCTCGTAGTCACGGTGAGCAGCTACGTGCAGCAGTACCCGAAGAGTGGTCATCTTCGGGGTGGGAGAGAAGGTCTGAAAGTAGTCAACTCCCTGCCGCTGACTGAAGCCACGAGCCACGTAACGCGCCTTGAAGACAGGCGGAGAACCCGGCGGTCGCTTCACCCTGAAAATCCACATGCCACTGACGATGTTCGCCCCAGGAGGGGGAACAGCGTCAACGTAGGTGCCTGTGGACTTCCAGGAAGCCATCTCTGCGTCCATAGCTGCCTGCCACTGAGAGGAGTAGGGACCCTCTATCGCCTCCGCGTAAGAGCGCGGAGTCGGGATGTCAAGTGCATCCGGGTCTCCCTCAGGGGTAAGCAGTACGGACACGAGATGAGGTGAAGCAGCGGCCAAGCACTGGAACTCCTCCTGCCTGTCCTCAAGGACGTCCGTGCCAAGGGCACACTCACCCCCGACGGACGGAGGACAGACAGACTCAGACTCAGCAACAAGACTGGCGACGTAGTCTAGGCGACAGCGAGCAGCAAAGTCGACGAGCTCAGCAACTAGAGCAGACGCAGCAGCGGACTCAAAGGAAGGGTCAGTGACAACCGTAGCAAGGAGACGCGTGACAGTAGGACTGGCAGCACGAAGAGAGTC